TAAGATGTTTTAACAGCAAAACTGACCTGCTTCAAGCACCCAGGACCCCTTCCCCAGTACAGCCCTGCTGCTCCCTGCCCTGCCCATGGCATGGTCCTGCTCCTCCATCTCCTGACAGCCACTCGCAGAGGCAGGACATTAGCACAACCAAACTGACACCAGTACAACCAGTCCAACCAGTCCAACACTGGCCAAACACCAGTCCAACACCAGTCCAACTGGTCTGACCTCAGCCTAACCAGACCAAGACCAGCCCAGGCCAGCCAAGCCACTGGCCACACCAGGTCTGGCTGAAGCTAACCACTCAGCATCAGAGCTAAAAAAACTCGCCGTGAGAAACAAGACTCCTCTAAACCCAAGCTCAGCAGCATCGTTGTTTCCCCAGACTCTTTCCAACCCATTAGTGCCTGTCGGGACAGAACGTGGCCCAGGCAAATCCCTGCCAGGCAGCCCGTCCCTGCATGCCAACACCTCCTGGCCCTGGGCTCGTCCAGGACTCATGACTTTTTGGTGCCATAAGAAGGGGATGGATGCTCCTGGCAATGACCCGACTCAGGGAGTGATACCGGAGCGGTCCCAGCACCACCAATTATCTGAGCACACAGCAGCTCAGCATGAGTACCCCAAGCTCCCCAAAACAAATTATTCCTGTTGTATGGTGAAGCGATTAACAAGGGTTATTTCCATGGCAACTGGAGCGGCTCTGCAAGAACCCGGAGGGCCTTTATCTCCTATTTTAAACCATAAAAGAAAAATGATCTGAAGAAAAACGCTTCTGGGGAAACTGGTCACAGAGCTGATTTCTCACCTCTGATTTGGTAGAGAAGCATGAGTTTCTTGACGGCTTCTTGAGCACCCAACAAGTGTGGTGGTTAACGACTTCTCCCTAACACAAAAACTTGCTCCCCTCCCTGTCACACTCACGGTGTTTCTGGGGCACGCTCACGACTTGCTGATCATTGCCAGCCAGTGATGCTGAAGCTAATGGCCATGCAGTGCATTCGTGGTCTCCTGCAGCTGCTCACTGTAGCACCACTCGGTCACGGGGGGGGACACGTGAGGAAGGCAGGGGTCGATGCACTGTGCTGTTCCTTCATCAGCACAGCCCACCCCAGGACACTAGTCAGAGATGGAACTGGCTCAGGGCACTCCACAGGCTGCAGCAGATGTGCATGAGGACCAAATACTGGGATGCTCCTCGGGTTTGGAGGATGCACTCAGCAGCACACATGGAATCCTGCCACCTTTTCAGCCTTTCTCCAAGCAGGACCATGCTCCTGTCCACAGCCCCAGTGCTCCCCAGCACAGCCCAGTGTGCTCCACCTGCACCACCATTATCTGACAGCCAGGTCAGAGGGACAAAAGGCAGCATCGGTACAGGATACAGGGAGATGCATCAGAAGATCGGGCAGGAGATAGGGTGATCTCCCTGGCTGGGGATCATCAAGTCTCAGAGACACAACCCTTCACACCAAGTGATTGCCTTTTAGTTATCTCCTTCCTCCATGGCCTGGAGATGTTTGAAAACAAGGTCAGTTGTCTTAGAAAAACCTGCTCACTTGCTGGTCGTTAACAGTGAGATTCATAATGCCCTGAGACCAAGTGCAGACGGTGCAGCCCCTCTCGCCCATACAAATAAGCACGGGACGATGAGTGCGATGGAGCCATGTCCCCATCCGGGCCACCTTGAGACCACCTGCCTTGCCAGGGAGAATTGAAGATCATAGAATCACAGAATGGTTTAGGTTAGAAAGACCTTAAAGACCATCTAGTTCCAACCCCCCTGCCATGGGCAGGGACACCTTCCACTAGACCAGGTTGCTCAAAGCCACATCCAGCCTGGCCTTGAAGACATCCAGGGATGGGGCATCCACAGCTTCTCTGGGCAACCTGTCCCAGTGCCTCACCACCCTCTCCGTGAAGAATTTCTTCCTGATATCTAATCTAAATCTACCTGTTTTCAATTTAAAGCCATCCACAACTCCCTCACTCTCCCCTTCAGAATTTTGCCTTATTTTACCAGGGTGTCGAGCAGCAGGTGCTATGCCATGAGACCACACAGACTCCCAGGGCTGTTTCCTTGCCTGCTACAGAGGGGTATGCTGCTGGGCTTTTTGGACTGGGGTGGTCAGTGCCACCATGTCGAGCTTCGACATCTCCTGACAAGCCCTGCGCAATTTTCCCTCACCCCATGATGAACAGGCAGCGTGGGACTGCGGATGTGGCAGCTGGTGGAGCACCCCACGAGGCCCGCTCTAGGGGAGGCGCAGGCACCACCGTGAGACAAATAAACAGCAAGAGAGCCAAGGGAGTGATGTGAAAACATTTGTTGAGCATTTGAATTGAGGAAAAAAAATTGAATGCAGTCACAAATATTCCTGGATAGATGGATGATGTCTCTTCTCCCTAGAAAAATACTCACAACTTGCTCAGAATGGGCAATGTACACTATATATGTGCATTTTTTTCAAGCACCATCTTATATATACACACAGATGTACACAACACATCTGAACAAGTCTGCATAGACAGTGTATTAAATTCACTGTCAAAGTACCTCCCCCTTCATCTTCTTCTGCTGGGATGCTTCCGAGAGAGCCCCACACGGGGCCAAATCCGCCCCTTCGCCCAGGCAATTATTTTATCATTTAATACATCTTCCACTATCCACAATCTGGCTAAGGAGGGTGTATTAAATCGATAAATCTCCTTGGCCTAGACATATCATTGCATTTGGGATCTGAAACAATTGCTTTTGCGGTTCCCCCCCCGCCGTGGCTG